AAATAAGTGTGACGTTTTAGCATGATGAGTGACAAGGAGTGGATAATATATGGTAGACATGACTCTCTGCCCTGTGTCCTGTCTTACTGGGGTTCCTGGGCCCGAGCCTGGCATGTTTTGCATTTAGCTGTTAACTGCACATACAACCAATGTGATTCATACTGGTGCCGTTTAAACCTTAAGTTCATCTCTAATGTAGAAACAAAGGAGAATATGCCACCAACCTGGCTTATTTGGGTGAATATAAAAGCAGATTATGCAAAGCCTGGGAAAAAAAAAAAACTTAAATGGGCTGTCTTTCATACCCCACCCTTAGGGAGTGTTGGCTAGAAAGACTAGTGTATTATGTTAGGTAGCATGAAAGGAGGGAGAAAAACCGAGCAGGGCAGCCCAAAGTCAAAATCAACAACCTTTATGAATCTGAGCCACGGACTCTTTGCCTAAAGGAGATGAGGGAGGAACCAAGTTTCCACCCTCTTAATGCAGAAATAAGAGCAATTGTTGTTGATAGAAAGAGGAAAATCTTTTCCTCTTCTCCCCTCCCAGAAAAAGCATGATTAAAGAACAAAATGGGTGCCACCCCAAATCCCCATATCCTAATTAAAAAGTAAAAATTATGTGCTTTGAAAGAAAAAAAAGGATATACAATTCAGATGTAATATAACAACAAAGTAGGGTGTTTCCCTCCAACCTTGGGAAACAGGGTAATTACACACAGTAATTAACGATGAATTTGTAACCAGCCCTGTTGGCTCTGTTCAGACACCAAGTGCAGCAGCCTGGTGGGTCGTCAGCTATGGGTGTAGCTCCCTAATCTAAAGGCATTGAGACTTCTAGGCGATGAGTGACAAATTTCAAATGGTTGCAGAGACTTGAAGGGAAAAAAGTAAGGCTCTGGGGACTGAAAACCAGCCAGCCAGACACCTGGGTTGTTTTCTTGGTGCCAAAAGTCATCCCTCTGGTCCACAGACCTCTTTTGGACAGAATCAAACGCAAGCCCAGTGCATGTGGCAGAGCACAGACCCAACCCAGCACTTAACTCTCTGCCAGCCTGGGATTAGCCCCGAGGACGTCTGTCCCAGCCAGAAGAGGAGGAGTTCCAGAAAGCTTGAATTCAGCCCGCCATCCTGTGTTTGCTGGGACTTGCAGCATCAGTATCGGCATAGAGAATTTTGATGCCAAACAGCAAATTCCTGTAGGCATGGCTTTGAAAGAGGCTGAACAGAAGGATCTCCTTAATGAAGGCTTTGGATGAGGATTATGGTTCCATGGTGATCAAACCATTTCAGCCATTCCCACACAGAGGGATCACATCACCAATCATGGTACCAGGCCAGCCTTAGGCCAAATTAAAAAGTAGGCCAAATCTGTCCTTCGCCTACTCAAAGCTAGGTGTCTCTATCCACCTGTCTTCTTTCAACATGCTCCACCTTCCCTGCCCTCCTACTCTGCTCTCCTGCAAAGCCCAAACCAAGCTCTTGCTGCCAAAGATCCCTCCCAGTAAACCAGTTATCTGAAGCAAGGCTTTACCCCACTCTACCAAACAATTATCAAGTCTTAACTATGAGACACAGAATATACCATGTACAAGAAATACACACGTATGAAAAACATGCTTCTCGGCCTTGATGAGAAGACCCTTATAATTCACTCAACAGCAGGTACTGAGCCTCCTGCTGGGCTCACTGGAAGATGTAGAGATTAGGAACACACATTTTTTACCTTCAAAAATTCCTAGAAATCAAGAAAAGATTCAGAGGCAAGAGAGGAAGAGCTGTGTGATGGGACAAACCATAATATTTTTTCCAGTTAATATAAAAACTTCTAATTACCTGCCTGGCTTCTACTTTTGTCCTCTGTAATAATAACGATACCAATTAATATAAATCCATTTGCCATTGAGGAGCCAGAGTTTTCTTTGTAAAACATAAATCAGATGATGCTACTTTTAGCTTAAAACCTCCCAAAGGCTTCTCTTTGTGTATAAAATAGAATCCAAACTCCTTCACTGTAACAAACAAGGCTCTATGTGTGACTGGCCCGTCTACCTTCCCATCTGACTCACTTCAGACACTGGCTGATTTTTTGTTGTTGTTGTTCCTCAGACACTCCTGCCTCAGGGCCTTTGTCTTTGTAGTACCCTCTGACTGAAATGCTCTTCTTCCAGATTTGTGCTTGATTAGGCCCATTTCATCATTCAGGGCTCAGTTCATATGCCCCCATTTTTAGAGATGCTTTCCCTGACAAGCCTATCCAAGAACATGTCCTTAGTCATTCTAAGACTTGACTTTTCTTTTTTCTTTTCTTTTCTTTTCTTTTCTTTTCTCTTTCCTTCCTTCCTTCCTTCCTTCCTTCCTTCCTTCCTTCCTTCCTTCCTTCCCTCCCTCCCTCCCTCCCTTCCTTCCTTCCCTCCTTCCTTCCTTCTCTTCTTTCTTTCTCTTTCTTTTTTTCCTTTCTCTCTCTCCCCTCCTCCCTTCCTTCCTTATTTCTCTTACCAAGTTGTGATTCAATGGCTATTTTCATTTTCATGACACAGAATGCTATCTGAAGTTATCATCATTTTTTTTGTTGGTTTCAGAGAAAACTCAAACTTAACAGATCTAAAATAAAGCTATTGATTTGCCTTCTTCGAAACTGCTCCACTTAAGTCTTCAGTATTCCCCATCTCACTTCAAAGCCAACTCTGTTCTTTCAATTCTTCCAGTGGCTCAGATTTAAAAAAAAAAAAAAATTCAGGAGTCACCTTGGACTCCTTTCTTTGTGTAAAACCCATCTGGACATCCCACTCATTCTACCTTCAAAATACAACCTCTTCTCTACAGCTTCCCCACCACCTCCTTCATCTTTTACCTATATTAAACTCCTTGCTGGTATCTGTGCTTTCTCTTTGCTCCCACATGGTTTATTTTCAACACAGCAGCCACAGTGGCCTTTTAAAAGTAAATTGAGGGCCAGATGCAGTGGTTCCCACCTGTAATCACAGCACTTTGGGAGGCTGCGGCTGGAGGATTACATGAAACCAGGAGTGAAAGATCAGTCAGAGCAGCACAGAAAGACCCTATCCCTACAAAAATTTTAAAAATTAGCCAGGCATGGTGGGGACAACCTGTAGTCTCACTACTGAGGAGGCTGAGTCAGGTAGATCATTTAAGCCTAGAAGTTGGAGGTTGCAGAGAGCTGGGATTGTACTACTCTACTCCAGCCAAGCTGTGGCTCTGGGTAGAGTGCTATGGTATCACAGCTCACAGCAACCTCAAACTCTTGGGCTCAAGTGAATCTCTTGCCTCAGCCTCCCAAGTAGCTGGGACCACAGGCACCCACCACAACACCCAGCTATTTTTTTTTTGTTACAATTGTTGTTGTTTTAGCTGTCCGAGGCCTGGTTTGAACCCACTAGTCTTGGTGTATGTGGCCAGTGCCCTACCCACTGAGCTATGGGTGCTGCCCTGAGTCACATTATTTTTCTCATCAAAACTTTTCAGTGGCTTCTATTTCACTCAGTAATAGTCAATGTCCAGCATATAGTTCTGTGCTGTCCAATATAATGATCACTAGCCACATGTAGCTACTGAGCACTTAAAATGTGGCCAGTTCAGAATGAGATATATTATAAAGGTAAAATGGACTCTAGAGTTCAAAAGCTTAGTAAAAAAAAAAAGGGGGGGGGAACATCTCATTAATCATTTTATATTGACTACATGTTGAAATATTAAGATTTTTTAAATGTGTTAAATAAAATATGTGATTAAAATTAATTTAACCTGTTCATTTTTACTTTTTTAATATGGCTATTAGAAAACTCAAAATTATAGCTATGACTCACATTTGTGACTTGCATTATATTTCCACTGGACAGCACTGATATAGATAGCAGGTAGTTATGATACTGAATGAGATCATTTGGTGAGTGAGTGCAGACAGAGAACAGAAGAGGCCTAAGGATAGAATTCTAGGGGCCCTGCAAAATTAAGAAGTCAGTGAGATAAACAGGAACCATGAGGTTGGAGAAGACTAGAGAGGCTGATATCCCACAAGCCAAATGAAGAAAATGTTTCAAGGACAGAGTGATCAATTATTTCAAGTAAGATAAGGATCGAGAGCTGACCATTAGCTTTGACAATGTGGAAGTCATTGGAGACATTGGCAAGGGATCTTTTGGTGAAACAGTGTAAATAAAAAACTAATTAGAGTTATTCAAGAGTGAGGTAGGGGAGCATAAATAAATACTACAAGTATGGACAACACTTTGAAGAACTTTTATTGTAAAAGGGGAAAGCCTAGGATCAATGTAGAGTATGTTAATATGAGAAGTATAGCATGTTTATATCCTGATGAGCATAAATTGGTCTTGAAGAAGAGAGAGACTTTCCAAAGTTGCTAGAGTAATTTCTATTGGGGTATAATTTCTAGATGTCAGGTGCTGGGACCTAGTGCACAAGAGGAGAGGTGTGTCTTTGTAGACACATGAAGAGTTCCTCACAGTAGCAGAATGGAAGACAGAACATGGGTAGGGTTACAAGCAGGTTGGTAGACATGATGGAAGCCACATGTGGAAGGTATCTTGGGATTGTTTCTATTTTCTCAGTGAAGAAGCAATTGAGGCTATCAGCTGAAAATGAATAAAGAGGAAAAGGTTTGCTATTGTATTTGTGAAGCAAGAGTTCACAACTCTTTAGAATGAGTTAGAATTGCTGGGCTCACTTAAGCTTAGTGGCTCACGAGTTTAAGGTAAGACTATGTGGTAAAGTTGAGTATGTGTTCCCCAGACATGTTCCGCAACCAAAAAGAGGTGCAGAGCAGGAAGAGGGTTATAAATAACTAGGATTGGAGTTTTGCCAAAGAAGGAAAAAAAGATGAGAGGTGTCAGGGAGTTGAGGGTGTGTGAACTGAGTGACTTTTATGATATACTGTAAGATCTAGGATAGATTAGGAGGAGGGAAAGGCAGTGAATATATGGTAGAAAAGATGCATTGTTGAGTCAAAGGATTTCCTTTTTTATTATGGGCACCAGGACCAACAATCACCAGCTGCCCATGTGCCAAAAAATTATGCTTCCAAAATCTCTTGATATCGATTTCACATGAAGAGCAGCTGACTTGCCCTATGTGGGCCACTCGTGACAGAAGCCCTTTCTTAGTCAAAGAATTTTTAAGTCAGGGTGCTAGGGACAGTGAGCTAGAAAGATACAAGGTGGTAGTCCTAGAGTGGAATGCTTGAGATTGAGATTATGGAGACGTGACAGTTATTGATAAGGACAACGTTGAACATAAGGTAAGGTCTGAGTAGTCCATTGATGGGAATGAGTAGCTAAGTTTGGGAGAGAATGAGATCAGAGGAGAAGAGGTCAAGGAACTCAGAGACCAAAGTATTAAAATGATCATCTACCTAGAAATTAAAATCACTAAGAATCATGATGGACATATCAGAATGAGTGAGGGTGAGCTGGGTGCTTAAATCTTCGAAGAATGTGGGGGAGTGACCCCCCAAGTCAGCAGTTGATTGCAATAAGTAAGGGTAGCTGGCAATGATGTCTAAGTTCCACACTAAAATCCCTCAAAGGAGAAGAAAACTGGGTCTAGCACAGTGGTTCTCAACCTGCACTGAGAATCTTTAATACAGTTCCTCATGTTGTGGTGACCCCCAATCATAAAATTATTTTTGGTGCTACTTCATAACGTAATTTCGCTGCTGTTATGAATCACAATGTAAATATCTAATTTGCAGGATGGTCTTAGGCCACCCCTGTGAAAGGGTTATTCGACCCCCAAAGGGGTCGCAACCCACAGGTTGAGAACCACTGGTCTAGCAGGAGCAATGAAAACCAAAGAAATATTTTCCCCACCTTTAACTATAGAATTTTATTCCAAATTCACATTCCAAGTACAGATGACATGTTCCTGATCCCACTGGAGTCATACTCTATCTGAAAGCTTGAATGATTACAGGCTTCCTGCTTTAACTCAAAGGAGAGTGAAACAGAAAACAAGCACCACTCCATCAGGCTGCAAGACAGCAGGACTTGGAGGTCCAGGTTCCAGTTAGAGCAACATTGCACAGAAGACACTGGGAGAAGAGTGTGAGAATGCAAGGGCTTTTGCTGCTGATGAAAAGCAGCACACAGAAGAAGGGGGAAGTGGGAAATGGACAATGTGGTCAGAGTAGGGAATAAGCAGAAACACTGTAGATCTTGGTTATTAGAAAGGACTTTGTAGTTTGGAATAACTGATAAGGGGAGTGGTGGGTCATTCTGGATCCCTCTTAGGCAGATTGTGGTGAGGAAGCTGTGAGCATTGAGGAGAGGAGGGGTGTAACAGAACCTTGCCAGGGCTCTAGGCCTTTGAAACTTTGGTATCATCTCCACCATTTCCTCAGATCTAGGATGAGCAGCTCCCCTGTTATAATGTGCCCTGGCACAATTGAAAACCCTTAAGCTAAGCCAGCTCATACTTTCATAAGGAGGCTTACTAAATTCAGAAGGAGAACATAAGATAAAATAACAAACAGAAAGACAAAATATTCACATTCCAAATATAGGTTTCTGATGCCAGAAGAGTCTTACCCTACCCCAAAAGAAGCTAGGATGACTACATGCTCGATGATCCAACTCAACAGAAACACTCATTTGCTGAGATGTATTTGCATAATATCAGTGTGGGGAAGATGCTTTGGAAACAGGCCTTTAAACCATTCCTGGGCATTGTCCCATATGTGCAGCTGTTCCTGTACAGAGCTTTCTTCACATAACAACAATGAAAACACATAAAAATCAGCCCAAGGGCAAATGTTTACTAATGATTAGAAAAATAAAACTGTACTTGATACTCTGAATGAGGGATGTTCAGGTCAAGTTGATTGAGAACTAGCAAGATGAGTCAGTAGCTATGATCTGTGGAAATGCTCTTAATGATTTTTATAATTGTTTCCTTAATAATGGAATTGTAATAAGAAGGTCGATGTTAAATTAATAACATGGAAGTATTCTAAAAAGCATATTGAAACATGATTTAAACCCATTCACTCAAGGCTTTAAGCCATAGGCTGCTTTTTTTTTTTTCCTTCCTGATAGAATATCATCCAGTGGACGGAAATATTTAAGCTAGAGCATGAAGCTTAAGACATAAAATTAATAAAGAGGAAAAGTGTAGTTTTATTTTATTTATTTATTTTTGACACAGAGTCTCACTGTGGCCCAGGATAGAGTGCCGTGGTGTCAGCCTAGCTCACAGCAACCTCAGACTCCTGGGTTTAAAGATCCTCCTGAGTCAGCCTCCCAAGTAGCTGGAACTATAGGCACCTACCACAATGCCTGGCTAATTTTTCTATTTTTAGTAGAGAAGGGATCTCCCTCTTGCAGTTTGGTCTCAAAATCCTGAGCCACCACGCCCAGCTCAGAAAAGTGCAGTCTTAACAAAGCCAGGCAAAGGCTATGTAGGCCCAGACCACAATCTTTCTGCCACTCAATGACTTTACCCATACTTCATTCAATGAATGATCATCAAGCATGGGTACTACGCCAAATACTTTTCTACCTGCTGGAGGGTGAGAGGTGAATAAGATGCCATTCTTACCCCTGAGGGGCTCACACCCTCTCCAGGCCTAGTTGTACACCCTGTACCCCACTGCATAGACACCATTTGTAAAATTACTTCAAAGCTCCTCTAGGGCAGAAACACAATTGACATTTCTCCTCTGTCCTATAGCAACTTCACAGTAAATACTTTCAAGTTAACTGGTTGAAAACTTTCCAAGGTGGGGAAATAAATGTACAACCTAGAATGCTCCAAGAACTAGGTTGACAGGTTAAGTTTTAGGTAAGTTTTGATATGGTATGACCCATATCAGCAACTGGGTAGAGGTTTATCCCAAGAGTCATTTCTTCCTTCTTCCTTGGGGACAGAGTTGAGATTTTATTCCTAAGTCCTTGGTTATTCAAAATGAAAGACTATTTCCTCCTTCCTTTGCAGCAAGATGGAGCCGTGTAACTTGAGTTCTGTTTAATATAGGTCAAAATATTATGTTGGACATCTGGAAAGGGTTCTTGGAAAGAGCAAATTTTACCTTCCGACAATGCCTCATTTTTCTGTTTGTGACATGCAACTCATATGTAATGACTGGAACTCCTGCAACTGTCTCAGATCATGAGTGAACTTGAAGAAGGAAGTCTTCTTCATGAGATTGTGAGGCTGTCACACTTGTCCCAAATTACTTATTTGGGGGTTTCTTTTACTCACTTTAAATGCACTATTGTGTGGAATTTCATGTTTATATGAATCAGGATCTAATCCTAATTGATACATATTTAATTGTAAGTCAACACTATTTTTAATGCCTACTATGTGCTAAGTCAGTACAGCACAATAAAGAGTGTATGTCACAAAACTTTCATATTTTCAGAAAATATAAATGCTCATGCTATACTTGAGAGTTTTTAAGTCAAAACTGCATGGTGGGCTTCCAGAATGAATATATATACAATTACATTTGTCTACAAATTTAGTAACCTGGATAGCATATGTAAAGCTATATAATTATATATAGTATATGGGTGGGCAGTGTTCATGAATACTGAGAGAGAGATATTTTCATAATATTTTCTTATATTTCTTTGTGTTCTTTTAATGTTAGTAGTAATGTCCCTTCTTTCATTCCTGGTTTTAGTAATTTGTCTTTTTTTGCTGGTTAGTCTAGCTAATGGACAATCAATTTCATTGAACTTTTTTTTTTTTTTTTGAGACGGAGCCTCAAGCTATCCCCCTGGGTAGAGTGCCATGGCATCACGCTCACAGCAACCTCCAACTCCTGGGCTCAAGCGAGTCTCCTGCCTCAGCCTCCCAAGTAGCTGGGACTACAGGTGCCCGCCACAGCACCTGGCCTTTTTTTGGTTGCAGCCATCATTGTTGTTTGGCGGGCCCGGGCTGGGGATTCGAACCCGCCACCTTAGGTGTATGTGGCTGGCGCCTTAGCTGCTTGAGCCACAGGCGCCGAGCCTGAACTTTTTAAGAAATCAAATTTTAGTTTCATTGACTTTCCCAATTGTTTTTGTTTCTATTCTATTTTTTCTACTCTGTTATTTTCGTTTTATTCTATTTTTGCTCTAACCTTTGTTGTTGCTATTGTTGTTTTTTCTGATAGTGCCATAGATGGAAGGTCAGGTTATTAATTTGAAGTTTTCTTCTTTTTTAACATAGGCACTTATAGCTATAAATTTCCCTCTAAGCACTGCTTTACCTGCATCATGAATATATTTTTAAAGCCCTGTAGAGAATTCTGATGTACATGCTTGGTTAAGAATATAGTGTATTTCTTTGATATTACAAGGTGTTTGGCTTTCTTTTCCTTTTTCTCATTTCCCAGCATGATGGTTAACCTTCTGAGTAGACAAAGCTTTTCTTATAAAGCAAAATGCTTGGGTTTGACTAGGTATTCCAGAAAGACTCTTGCTTGCAGCTCAAAGATTTCTTTCATAGTTTAATCTAATAATCAAAGATATGTTTGTTGTATTTGATCTCTGAGAAGTGAAGACTTTCTAGATTTGATGAGCCCTTCTTAAAGGAACCTTTCAGTTGAAAGTTTTCCTTGCTGCTTCTATTTTTACTATGCATATTTTTGGCAGCCCTGACAAGTACTTATGTCCATTAAGCAGAAGTCATCTGATAACAAAAGCTTCCTATGGTACCTAAGCCCTTTTCCTTAGCCTGTGTACTTTCTTCTTTGCCTTCCTTTTTCTGCGATCTGGCAGCATTATCACCCACCCCACGTGACAAGTGACATCATTGCTATAATGAGAATTCCAAGCAGCACCACTGGATCAAAGCCCATCTGTGTGCCTGCTCCCACACTTGACAAAACAAATTCCAAATTCATTCAGCATGCCGGTGCCATTTAGTCACTGTGACATATCCCAAATTTTGGACTCTGTGCAAAAACCAATCTGTGCCCACAAAATTAATCATGGAACACATTTGATGACGTTTGACAACAACTTAAAAGGTTCTCATCTCTGGCAGGTGGCTCTGCCAATCTGCAAGTATGTGCACGACAAATTCTAAACAATATATTGTGTGGCTGAAAATATATTGTGCAGGATGCACACCCTGGAGAGAACCAGAGCGCGTCCAACCAATCCTGAAGTCT